TATTAATAATTAATTGGCTTAATGAAGTCAAGCAATCAATTGATAACTAAATACAACAAAAACTTCCCACTGCGCTTTTACAAACTTAACTAACTAGCTAACTACTACTACTACTACTACTACTACCAACTAGTTGAAATGAATAAATTTGTCTTTCCTAATTTTCCAACTTATTTCTATGCTTTATCTCTTGTATTAATAAAGCTTTACTAATAAGCGTATATTTATTTGAAAAGAACAGTTTAAACTTATATATATTTATAATGTATATAATTATGAAACTTCTTAATTTCACTTAAAGTAATAACTAACAAATAAGAAAATTCAAAAATTCTTGCAAAGAATTATAAATTTTATTTTATTAATTTAATTCTTTCTTGTATATAGTTTTTCTCTAATTTAAGCTTAACTTTCCGACAGTATTAATTTTTTTTCTCTCATTATTATTTTGAAATAATTTGTTGAACTTTTATAGAGAGCTTTGAAAGCTTTAAAGCACAAAAACACCTTTTCATTTGTTTTATATTGTTATATCTTGTTCAATTAAGGTTTTGAAATTTCTTATATAATTTTTTTTATTAATTAATTGACACATACCTTTGAGCGTACCTGTACAACAAAAACACTTAGTAAGCTTAGAAAAAAACCAACTCTTTAAAAGAATCCCGCAATAACAAAAGCGCTTTTATGAAAGCTTTTATATCAAGACCGTATTATTGAGAAATGCTTTGAACGTGCTGAAGCACCCCGCCTTCTCACCCAAAACTTAGAAGTATAATATATAGTTAAAAACATATATAAATATATATATTAAAAAAAAATATTTTTTGAGCTTTATAACAAAAATACATCAAAGCTATTACGACAGTTCAGCACAGCTTTCCAATAGCTCTCTTAGCCATTTCGCAGCTTCATATATATAAATAAATAAAAAAACGGCATTAATGTTAGCACTACTAAAATATTTCGAATTTAATTAAATTCGACTTTTCAGCGTACAAAGCGCACTTTTAAATTGCTTAATGGCATTTCTAGAGCTCTAAAGCTTTTACGTGAATTTGTCAAGTATGCCGTAAGCGGTCGCTTCAGCTGAGCGAATAATAGTGTGTGCTACAATGCGGAACGTCAAGGGCTCGAAACCCCGGACTAGACCAACGTATAAAATCATGCTGAATTAATTTTAAATTAATTTGTCTAATTACAGCCGGCAGGGTATGCCTGCTCCTCCCAGTATGTAACTGAAATGAAATAAAAAGCTTCTCATAAAAGTTGTTCTACTGTTTGTATTCGCCTCAGATAAGCTGAAGCTTCCTCTATTAATGGCAAAAGTATCAAGACACACGCTAGAAATTGAATTAGCGACACGACCGAAAATATTCTCAGCGGCTATAAAGCTCTCTACTTTGAAGAAATTCTAGCAAAAATTTTATAAAGTACGCTTTTAAGAAGCCTTATCGATTCTTCTACCGTTCGAATTTGTATTTTTTTAATAAATTGAATATTCTTTTGCAAATAATTTAGCAGTTCGGCTTTTTATTTTTATTTATTTTATATAAAAAATATTACCTTTCAAAGTGTTTCATTTTATGTATAATAATTGGCAAAATTTTCAAAAATTATATTCTTTTAATTTTATTAAAAAAAAATTAACAAATTTTAATTAAAAAATTGCATTCATAAAAATATCTCCAAATTAAGTGTATTTATGTTTTATAATAATGAGCTTTAGTTGTTTACTCACCAATGAAAATCTAGAATGGAATCAGCAATAATAATAACAAATATTTGCAAACTCACAATTTCAATGTGCTTTTCTCTATTTGTCGCATATTTTAAACACATTTTCGAAAAAAAAAAAATTGTTTAATATTTATTACTTAATTTAAAATCGATGTTAAATGTGTGTTGTAAGGACTTTTGTATTGTATTATGTGTATAATTCTCTTTTTGTAAAAAATTATAATTTTTATTATTTCCTCTTTTAAATTAAAATTAATGGAAATATTTTTTTTTTTAATTTTCCGTTTCAAACAACTTAATTGGCCACATATAATTGAAACAAATACGTAGTTACTAAGTATACTTATTTGGAATATGAAACAAAAGTCTATTTATTGAAAAGTTATATGCTTTTAAATTTCAATATTGTGGAAAATTTTGTATTATATAATAGTTAAGTAAAAAGTAATCCATTATTTTTGCCCTAAATTGAAGGCTACGAGACTGTTCGTTCGAGCTCACTGTCCTTCGACCACGACTGTTTTTGCTGTAAGTGATCCACTTCTCATCATCAGTTATCAACCGCTTCAAAAATGGTTCAATTTTTTTTCCGATTCGTAAATGGTAACTCGTCCCCTGAGAATTCGTCTCGTTATCTCTTGTTTCATCAAGTTTCAGTGTGTATCCAGCCTTTTTCAAGTGGTTCTAAAATATTTTTTTATGCCATGTCTAGCTTCAAGGCTCCTCAAGGTAGTGCTCACAAAACGATAGACTGCCAGACTCGACATTCTCATTATTTTAGCGATATTTTCGATGATTGGCAATTGAGATTGGATGTGTAATCGTTTTACAGTGAGCTTTCAAGATGAAAGCGTCGTGCTCATACTCTTCGACGCGGACGCAAGTGGAAGCGAAGACTCTGTCATGCATACACCTACGCCATCTCGTTTCCTGGAATGTTACTATACGCAGGCACCAAGGTTCAGCAGGAACTGCTGAGACATTATGTTAAGTGATCTACCAAATTCTCTAGTTTTTTGATTGCTTTTTAACAAATTAAAATGGATTCTTATGAGCGTACCATTGAATCCATACACCAGACAGTCTCCAGTAAGACCACCCGTTCCATCTGCAAAAAACTGGAGACGAAACGACTTGCCGACAGGTACCGACCATGTTATGTAGCTTGTAGCCATTCGTATAGAAAGAGGTCGAGTTTGCATAGGCTGGAACTATCCTGTCTCAATGGTTCTTGGTTGAAATAACCAGCTTGTTATGCTTCGTTAAGTGCTTGAAGGTTATGCAATAGTTTGTCCTTTCTGGTGGGTAGAATCTTCTCTAAATCTAAGTTTTAGTAAGTAAGAGTATAAGCTCCTTCATGCATAGCCATAATAGATAAGACCTAAGAACACATGCACGGACCTACTGGATCTGGTTCGCACTATTACACTACCCACTATGGAATTTTCAGGCAAGTGTTGGTCACTAGATCGTCACCCAATCGTACTTTTGCAAGTAGAGCGAGCAGTAGATTTTTTTTGCATCGCCTCCTCTGAGCTCTGTGGCCAATTATATTATTTGTCCAAAATAGATTCCTGGTATCTAACAGCCTCAGAGTATGCAGCTTCGGTCCAGAGCACACTGCAGTTCATAACTTTGTTGCCTTATACATATATAATATATTATTGGTGCATAGAATAAGCTCCGTCTTCTTTGGGTTAATGCCTAAGCCAATAGCATCAGCTCATAATATCACATAAAGTTGAGGGGGAATAAACCGCTCGATCCGTTTGATGTAATTTTCGACCACTTTTTTGGCTATACGAGTATGTACATCAGCCATTAATTCGACGATGTTTTATTTTCCAAATACTCAAAATTTAAAGGTTTTACACGGTCTTTTGCCTTGCCTTACAACGGTGTTAAATCGTATGTTCTCGGTGATCAATTGACCTTGCTAAGACGTCAGATTACGCTGCCGGGAAATTTTTCTCTCAATAAAGCCATATGCAAAAGTATTGTTGTTGTCTTTTTAGAAAGACATGATGATTAAAAAGTTTTCTTCAAGTGCAGGCCAAAAGAAAATGGCTTATCTTACAACTATAGCGCCCCAAATTTGTAATGACTGTCTTGCTTTTGTCGTTTGCCAATCACACCGCCGGCTCAAAGACGGCACCAAACAATAAGTTTTTTTTTTTTTTGGGCGTTATGAACTCTCTTCAATTATTCGAGTATTCTTGAATATATATTTTGATAGGACAAATTGGCTTATTTACATATCCCCCCGAGTGAGGGGTGTGCCTTGCCGCTGAAGAAAACGTCGTATGTACAGCATTTTGGCTAGTTAGTTGGCTACAGTTGTAGCGCGAGATATACTTTGTATTGTTGTAGGTATAACTCGAAGTGCAAAATATGCCCTTTGCCTATGTGCTGTAAGAAAATCCGAGCTCATGTGAACGTGGAAAAATAGACACATTCAGGTCTTCATAATCTCCTCTTAGAGCACACAACGTGGCCACGTTTGAATCCTCCTTTTTGTAGTAAGTTTTAGCGAATTTTAACTCGTAGTGGGATTTATTAGTCGATCCATTTTCATAATAGCCTGGTTTTAAACTAAAACAAAACATGTTTGGTTTGACAGAAGTCAAAATAGAGTCCCACAATATTCATTTTCTCGACAATTTTTGAAAAGTGTGTAATAAATAGTACTAGACTGCAATTTTGTTTCATATTCTAAGATTTAACGTAAAACTAACAAATATTTATACAATTATTTTAAGTATTTTGTATATATTTATTAAAAAAAAAATTACAATAATAACAATTTATTGTTTGTAATACTAAAACAAATATGTATATTTCTTTTTTTACACTTTTTTCTCTCTCCAACTCGCTTTCTTCAATGATCTACTTTATCTCTACTGCTCTATTTCTTTCGTCGCGTTAATTACTTACGCTCCTTATGAATGAATACAACAATCAAACCAACAAAAATGAAATTTCTCTCAACAACACAAACATGTTTGCTCTTTTTTCTCTCCATTTCTCCATCTCTCTCGCTCTCTTTCGTTCGCCCGCATCTCCTTTAAAATAAAAAAAAAAACTCCAAACAACAACAACAACACCGCCACCGACCACGAACCAAACCATCTACTACCAATAAAACAACAACAACAATAATTATAACATCATCTACAATAACAATCAACAATCAAAAATCAACAAAAAAACAATTTGAACAACTATCAATACCCAACGAAATATTCATTCATCAATCACAGGGTAATGCCGCGAACTCATCAGAAACATCAATGGCCACACAACCAGGCGGTTCGGTAACATCACGGGCCGCTTCGGAGACACGCTCAGGACCGCCAGGATCGAGCAGCGGGGCGGGCGCAACAGGTAATAGCAGTGGTGGAACTGCTGGTAGTACACACACCGGTGCAAAATTCCGTCATGGCCTATTGCAGCTTATGATACACACAATAGATCCGCTACATGATGGTGAGTTCATAACGTTTCCATTAGTGTTTTGCACTTCCTTCAACCAAACCCCAACCAAAACCAACAACCACCAAACCACCAACCACCAAACCACCACTAACACCAGCACAAGCATACAAACACATAAAAACCAATGTCCAACCTGAAAACCTTTCCCAATAAAAAAAAAATATTAATAATAATCACCAACCGCTTGCAAATATTTCCCACATTCCAACAAAAAAAAAAACACAGTTACATTTCAAAACATACATAAATTACTCAAACAACTCCCACCGCTTTCCCCAATAACAAATAACAATAGAATTAAACAAAGAAAAAAATATGAAAAGAATATAATAATTTTATGAAATAAAAAATAAGCAAAAAGAAAAATTAACCAAAAAAAAATATATCAATTTAAAATATAGAAAAGCTTCTGCGCAAAAATTAAACTTAGCCAAAAAAAAGAGCAAGAAAATTTGCAAAATTCTGTTTTACGTTGTTTTGTTGTATTTTCAAAAACCTAAGAAAAAGAAGCCAAATTTTATAAAAATTTAAAACCAATCTCTTATGAAAATTGCCGTTAACGCTTACTAATTGAAATTAATAAATATTTATTGTTGCTTTTGAGTATATGCAATTGAGCTTTAACTACTTGCTTTTATTGTTGTTAGTTGTTGCTTCAATTTCAAAATTTACCTGGCTGCATTTGAAGGGTTACAATTTTATTATATAGCCGTGGGTTGAAATTATAAAAACAGAATTAAAAATTATACACAAAATCATATATTTTAAAAATAAACTTTAAACTTTTTGGCTTCATTCATATGCGCGATTAATTAAAATTTTATTAATTAAAATTGCCAAAATATTATATGAAATTAGATAGCTCACTGATAATATATTATAATTTTCATGATAGTATTTTCTAAAATCTTCATAAGAACGGTCTAGTAAAAAGTAAACCATTATTTTTGTACTAAAAGATTTATGTCAAATATGCATAAATCATAATTTTTCCAAAAAATTTTGCAACTTTGAAGTTACATCAGCTGTGCGCTCCCTTACATTGTGGAGTTGTTAGCTTTACGCACTGCCATTCATTCACAAAGCCAGGGTTTGATTACTTGTACGACGAACATCTAAGATTATAGAAAATTAATTCTTATAAAACGCCATCGGCCATTCAGAGACGGCTTAGAACAAACGCCCTTTAACGGTTACAAAGCGCCAGTTATTTACGAGTATATAGTATATAAATATATATGGCTGCTTGAATAAATCTCACAAGGACCTAATGAACTCTGTCCTTTTCACATCCATCGCAATTTTTGGATGGCGTTGAATGATCCTTGAAACATTTGCGAGGCCGTCATCAAAATATGGTCTCCCATCCGACGCGTTATGTAATTTTTAATTAGCGTAAATTTTTCATATGGTGGGTCCCAAACGCTGTACACAACCGCAGGGGAATTCGTCTTAGGCTGCTTCCATAGAAGGCATTTAATTAAAGACTAGAAGTCGTGAGCTGCGTGAACCAAATGCAAAAGAATCGTTTCTAGCCATGCGCAGTCAAAAACTCCCCATTTACCTGTTAATGACTTGTTACTTGACCTAATATCAACTTTCAAACGCGGTCTGGAATAATCCAAGCTTTCAGAACGCGAGATACAGATCACTAAAGTCATCTACTGCAAAAATAATTGTTTACTTTTTACTAGACCAACAGATATTAGATATTCACTGTTATATATTTTTTATTTTTTTTGTGCTCTAAAGACAGCACTGCTAAATGTAGAATGATTTAGTTTCTAAAACAATATATACAGGGTGATAGTAAGAGAAAGACCTACAAACTAATTTACGATATTAAAAGAGAAAAATTGCTGAAACAATGATACCCTATCAGAATATATGGTACTTTTGATTTTAAGATATACATATTGGTAACTAGAAGTGTTATACGAGGGTATTAACAAAAGTTCGGTAAGTTGAGCAGAAAAAAAATAAACAAATCTTTTTGTATTTCTTCGTAATCTTTGTCCTTTTGTAGAGAAGATAAACATAATCGCTATTGATTCAATGCATTTCAATAGCCTATAGATCCATTTCTGAAAACAGTCTTCAAAATCTTGCTTTTTCAACTTATTAAGTTCAGCATTAGCCGCTTTAATTATCTCCTCGTTGATATTCAAGTCATTTCCTTTTAAATTTTTTTTAACTTTGGGAAATAAGTAATCACAAGGTGGTATATGCGGAGAATATGGTGCTGGACGTATTTCTTCGATCCTACAGATCGCAACAAAGTTACTAGTTATTTCAGCAGTGTGGGATAGCGCGTTGTCATGATAAGAAAAGTAAGAGCTACAGTAACGTCTTCAGTGAAGGATTTTGTTTGACATTCTCGGAGCTCTTCCTCTACGGAAAAATGTCCAGTCAGGAATCTTTGGAACTATCTAGAAATAGCCTCTAGATGGAGCAATCGTTCCATATGCAATTTGATGTTCACTGAATATTTGCATTGGCTCTAAATAACACCGAAATCCGAAAAGAATCACATGGCGAATATCTGTTTGCGTTGGTTGTGGTTGTCCGACCTATCTACACCTATGTTGTGTTTTCTCGTCTCCATTTTAGCCGATCGTTCTAAAATTTGAAAGGAAAACTAAAAAAGTAATACGAAAGGATTTGGTATTTCTAGATTTAACTAAAACAAATTGAAGGTCACCAACGGACCGAACTTTTGTTAATCCCCACGTAGTATTTAATAGTCAAAATCCAAGTGATTAGCAAAATGCAAAAGGTGAGCCGAATAAGATCGAAGTTGGAAAAATTCTCGGTATCATAATAAAGCGTCTGCTCATTAGGAAAAATCGTGTTTATGCTACGATTTACTTGAAATTCGGTTTATATAGTATAAAGGTGATTTTTTGCTTGGATTAACAGAAAGATTATTATTTTCTCTTGGAAGTAGACCAGAGACTGACCTAATCGAAAATATAATATCTATAGCTTAACAAAAATACTACTCTTTTCATCGGGAAGTGGACAAAGGACAGACCTATTTGAAAAAACTGTAGTTCGATTTACATCGAATTTGGTTTGGATTTTTGTTTCGATTTCACCGGGAGATGGATCGATTTAAATATTTCAAATTGAGTAGAACCAAATTTGGTTTCTCGAAACATAAACAATCTACCACTTTCTTTACGGTAAAGGGATCACCGACGCATTGACAAAAGTTAGTATGATTTGGATATAAGCATAGATCGTACGTTCGGCTTACAAGCTACTCTTACAATTCCAACTTGAGTGTGTATGAAAAAAAATATTTTTTTTTTATATAGCGCCCAAAGGTACAACTGAATTTAACAAATTTTTTGGCTCTTTACAACTAATATCCAAAAAACAATCACAAAAAAAGACATAAAACATAAAACTCAATGCCCCACATTTGACCTGGTGAATTGTAAATATGTTTCTTCAATATCATATATTCAGAAATAATAAATTTAATTAAAATATTACATATATATATATCAGTAATTGAAACTGTAAATTTTCTACAAGAGTAGTTTCATTGTGTCGTTGTGACTTATTTCAAATGTTTAATTGCTGAAGTTACCTTTTTTTCTTGTGCTTCATACACAACAAGACAATTTAAAATAAACTTTCATTTTCTACCAATAAAAGAAAAAACAAATTTATTGAAAAAGTTTAACACGAGTATTTTTGAGTAAAATAAAAAACACCCATACATCACCCTGTATATAAAACCAAACGGATTATTCTTTTTTTTGATTTTTTTGAAGGGCAAATTTTACGTTTCGTTACATATGTTTATGTATAAAAAAAAATTAAAGGAACTTGCAATTATGTGCGTTTTCTCTTATACATTATATACTCGTACATATACGCATTTAGTTTGGTTTTTTGTTTGTGTGTTTACTAGCTTACCAAATACATATAAAATTCATATCAGTTAACTTTTTAACAAAAAAACCAACAAAAAAACATTAATTAATAAAAATTATTAATATTTTAAATTTATTTAGCTAATAAAAACAGACGAAAACCAACAAACAAATATTTATTCAATATGTGTGAAAAACCGCTATTTTGTGTTGTTAAATGTCAGTTTGGAGTTGAAACTTATCAAATAAGTTAGTTAATTAATAAAAATTGTTGATTCAAGGAAAAAGAGTGATTTGCTTCCAAAGTTTCGTATACAACTTTTTGCCGCTTGCAATTTGTTGCTGCAACCAGTTCGAAATTTTTTCCCATATTTACATAATATATATTTTTTAAGCGATTAATTGCGTTTATAAGTGAGCAATTTTTTTTTTTATTAATAAAGCAAATATTTATTATGAGAAAATAAATTAGTTGGTTGTGTTATTCGTATTGCTTATTTAGTGTGTTGCTTATTTTGAAATGAAATATATTTGAGCTTAGAGTTATTTATCATATATACGTATGTATGTTGTAATCGTTATATTAGATTAAGTGTTAAAAATTTATTTACATATATTTGCAGTGTTTAAGCGGCGTAGGAAAGTGCTTGTGAAAGTAAATTAGGAAAGTTTTAGAAATCACGTCTACTGCTTGGCTTTATATATATATATATATATAAAGCATGTATAAAGATGCTGCCTTTCCATTTATTTGATTAAAATTACTGAATTCAGATCCAGAAGAATCCTGGAAAAAAGCTGTTTATATTTTATTTCATGCTTTTAAATGCTTTTTTTACAGCTTTTTGGTCCAAAAGCTCATAGCTGAACAAATCGGTTGTATGGGAGTTATAAGAGGTAGTATTTCGTCTTCGATGATTTTTGGTGACACTGTCTATATGTATATACGTGTGCAGATTACCAAATTTCATGCTGTTAACTGCTTTTTTGACAGCATTCTGACCCAAAAGCTCATAGCTGAACAAATCGGTTGTATGGGAGTTATAAGAGGTAGTATTTCGTCTTCGATGATTTTTGGTGACACTGTCTATATGTATATACGTG